TGTCAGGGTTGTTTTATTCTCCGAGAGACCCTGCATTTCTATAGCACAATCAGATAGAGGTATTATCCTGTTTTTCTCGGCTGCGGCCCTCCTCAGCTCCTCGAACAGTTTAGCTGACATAATTGTTATGTCTGCCCCACCGTCCAGGAGTGCTTCGTGTGTGAGGACACCTTCGAGTGTTACTGACAGGTACGCCTTTTTGGCGGCCCCCTTTCTGATAAAGTTACACAGAAACCTTTTGGTTTTTTTCTGACGCTTTTTCACGCGTTCAGATTTATCTGTGTAATCTTGGTTTGTCTGAACCGTCAGCACAGCTGTAGCTGTTTCTGCGTGTTCAGCCTGCGATGACTGGTCATCGTTTGTGTGTGTGATTACCCCCCTTTCATCCGATGAGGGGTTGTTTGAGGCAACAACAGCAACGTCTTGGTGTGTTTCACCGACATCTGTAGTGTTGTCATTCGCGCCCAGAGATGCTGTAGTGAGTACCTCACTGCATAGTGCTTTTGGTCGGCTTCCCTTGTCAGTGTGTTTCAAATCTTCTAACATTTCACGCAATTTTTCTGTCTCTTCCGAGCTCAGAGGTGGAGGGCCTTTTTTCTGGGATTTTTGTGATTTTTTCGCCTCTGGACGTTTCGTCCGAGGTGGGGGGCGGCTAGGTACGTCTTTTTGGGGTTCCTCTCGGTTCCCATTTTTTTGCGTCCTCCGCTGGTCCCATTTACGATAATCACGTTCGTCCTCTGAAGGAGGAGCCTTTTTATCCCAGCGTGCACCTTCATGATGCGGTTTGTTAGTCTGAAAATACTGCCTTTTTTCTCCCTTTTTAGGAGGGGGTGGCGATGCACGCCTTCCTTCTAATTCTAGGGAGTGGGGTTTAACCTTTACACCAGGAAACACTTCTATGGGCGTCTTGGCATGACAACGTGCCTCAAACACGTTCACAGCGCACTGTTTAATCTCACTGATGGATTTTTCTCTGTAATTTGCCATCATTTGCACTGACGTTTGAATGTCAGGATGGAGATTTTTGCTGAAAACAAATTTAAAACCTTCTTCTTCCTCCATTCCGGTTTCATTTCTGCTACCAAAATAAGCTTGGAAGATTCTTTTGTAATAAACTTTTGGATGTTCATTCTTGCCCTGCGTGACCTTGTCTGCGGCTGGATACCCAGAAGGCCCAGCGCAGGAGTCGTACTCTTTGATCAGAGCTTCACACAGAAGTTTGTAATCCCTTCTCGTTGCATCTGGTAGACGCTCGATGAAGGTAAACACCTCTCTGTCCGAAGTGAGTCGTATCAGACTGATTTTATCTTCTACCGTAGCGTTTGGATAAGCTCTCAATCTGAAATCCAGATCTCTGAGGTACGCTTTCGTTCCAGCGGAGCCCAACGGTTCAGGGATGAAACGTTGTACATATTTTGAGATTTTTTGCAAGTCATCCATTGATGGAGAAGATATCAATGGTCTCACATGCGTGATCAGTTGTGGGGGTGTTACTCTGCCCGTTTGTGTAGGTGATTGGATGGGTCTAAAAGCACTGTTTAAGTAAAGAGGTCGTTGAGTAATTGGTGTATTAGTCCGACTTTGTTCAAGGTCTGGCTTGGATTCCAGGTCACCTTGAACAACATTCTGACCTTTTTCTATTGCTGCTATTAGTTTCGCCTCACATTTTTTTAAATGTTCCTGGGATGTACAGTAGTCACCTTCTAAGCGCATATGTAGCTTTTGTAGATTTTGTTTATCTATTTTGCATTGTTCCAGTTCAGTTTTTGCAAGCTGCAACTGTTGTTGTAGCACCTCGTTATCTGCACACGTGGCTTTGTACTGACGGTCTATTTCTTTAATCTTTTCATAAGATTTTGCTTCTAGTGACGCCTGCATTTCTGAGAGATCCTTCTCATGTGTTTTAGACATCCAGTCAAGGCGTTCCGACCGTTCATCCAATTCAGCTTTTAGAAGCAGAGAGATTTTTGCTAACCGTTCAAGGCTGAGCTTTTTACTCTCTGTCTTTAATGTTCCTGCGGCCAGACTTTTCAGCTCTTCTTGTCTTTGAGCTTCATCAAGTTGTTGTAATTGCTCTAATTGTGTACCAAACAGTGTCTGAGTTAAGATTAGTAAGGTAAGGCTGACATCTTCTGGACAAGAAGAATTGTCTTTTCTGCTTGATTAATTCAAGAAAGAAAGTCATCAGATGGCCCAGACTTATTCAGATTAATGAAAATAACAGTCTCTGTCCATCTGGTAGATTTGAGGTCAGATAAGGGTCAGACCAGGTTCACTACATCTTCCAACAAGACAATGATCCAAAACATAAAGCCAAATCTACAATGGAATGGTTCACAAATAAACATATCCAGGTGTTGGAATGGCCAAGTCAAAGTTCAGACCTGAATCCAATCGAGAATCTGTGGAAAGAGCTGAAGACTGCTGTTCACAAACGCTCTCCATCCAACCTCACTGAGCTCGAGCTGTTTTGCAGGAAGAATGGGCAAAACTGATAGAGACATACCCCAAGAGACTTGCAGCTGGAACTGCAGCAAAAAGTGACGTTACAAAGTATTAACGTAAGAGGGACGAATAATATTGCACGCCCCACTTTTCAGTTTTTTATTTGTTAAAAAAGTTTGACACATTCAATAAATTTCATTCCACTTCACGATTGTGTCCCGCTTGTTGTTGATACTTCACAAAAGATTAAAATTTTATATCTTTATGTTTGAAGCCTGAAATGTGGCAAAAGGTTGAAAAGTTCAAGGGGGACGAATACGTTCGCTATATATATATATATATATATATATATATATATATATATAAATATATATATATATATATATATATATATATTTAAAGTACTACTTACTACTTGTACTAATATTCCTACTTCGCGGTTTTTCACTTATCGCAGGTCTTCAGGGTACCCCGCGATAAATGAGGGACTACTGTATGTATGTATGTATGTATGTATGTATGTATGTATGTATGTATGTTATATATATCCATCCATCCATCCATTTTCTTTACCCGTTTGTTCCATTTTGGGTCACGGGGGTCGCTGGTGCCCATGTCCAGCAATCACTGTGCGAGGGGCGGGGTACACCCTGGACAGGTCGCAAGTCCATCACAGGGCCACATAGAGACAAACGAGACAAACAACCATTCACTCTCTCACTCACACCTAGGGACAATTTAGAGTTACCAATCAGCCTAACATGCATGTTTTTGGTCTGTGGGAGGAAACCGGAGCACCCGGAGAAAACCCACGCATGCACGGAGAGAACATGCAAACTCCACCCAGAAAGGCCCCTGGACCGGGGTTTGAACCAGGGACCTACTCGCTGAGAGGCAGCAGCTCTACCAGTTGCGCCACCGTGCTGCCCATGTTATATATATATATATATTTATTTATTTTTTATTTACAAGCACGTAGATGCTTAAAAGCCCTTTAAAATACACCAAAATGCAGGAAATCACATCTACTTTAGTCTAAATTTTCTGGGGGGACCCCCCCACTGGTCTGCTATTTGCGTTCCGTCATTAAGCCCTGTTACTTGGTATGACTACTGCTGTTATGATTCTGTTCAGTTTTATATAAAGAGTTTTCTATAATAATGTGAAGAAGTGGCGATACATTTATTATATTCATTATGTGAATAGGTAAAGTTTTAAAGTGGTTTTTGATGCTGTTAATTTTCTCAAAACTGCAATTTTTGGAATTTGAAACTAATTATTTTGTTTATTAAGTGTGTCTTGAATGAAAAATACCCCATGTTTAAAAGTATAAAAATGGTATTAACACTATTAAAGAACAGCTCGTAAGTATTTATGTTGCACAAATGTTTCCATTGTATTAAAGAGACACGTGAGGGTTATGAGGGGGTCCCTGAGTCCAAAGTCTGAGAAGAACCCCTGCTTGGCCATTCTTGCTCAGAGTCGCATGTGTTGTGTGTGTGTGGTTTCACAAAGGTGGAACACGCTGCTAAATCAGATCAGAGCTCTCTGTTCTACCTTCAAAAACCTCTTATTAAAGTCTTGTTTTTTCAAAGAGGTTTTTTTTTTTTTTTACCTCACTTGATTTTTATTTCTTCAATTGTAAAATACATTTTAAAAGTAATGGCTGTGTCCGTTTGATTTCATTTACAAAAATGTTAACCAATATTCTTTACTTGTTAAGTGTCTTTGAATAAAAGTGTTCTTAGAGTGAGTAAATGTAAATTGAAAAATTCATTCAATTTACAAAATATTTGTAATACCAGGAGAGACACGTTTAGAAGCTAAAATATATCGATGTGGTTCATATTATACAGACAATCGTTTGTCAGTTATAGTTATATTTAAAACTGTAATTAAATATAAAACCAGAAGAACATTAAGTCTAAAAAAGGCATTAAAGTTCACAAGCTTTTTTGTTCGATAAAGGTCCCTTGCTTGCTGTAAATCCATATATTCCACTGTTCCCTTGAAGCCTCCTATAACACACACACTACAATTACACTGCTGTGATTTTCCTCAGGACAACCAATTTGAATATAAAGACAATTAGCAATTTTATGTTTATTTGATTTCCCCCACGTTGTCATTATCTACCTCGAACAAAGCAGAGAGTCTGAACAAATGACCAGCACTTGTGCTAATTTAAACTAAAGCAAAAAAGAAATATATTTGTTTCCAGACCATTATATAGTGAGGCATGCATTTGCTGGGTACAAATGGGTACAAATTCATTACAGTTAACAATGACATGCAATTCAGCCCTGCTAATGAACTTCTACACAGTCATGTTTGGTATTAAGGAGTGATTTGTTGAGTCTAAGTGTATCATTGTGGAGGCTAATGTTGATGAATGCCTGGGTGTTACAGGGACGCAGGAAGGAAGGATGCTTCTATGGGGCTCTTGTCTATGAAGGTGTAACCTTACCATCTAGTGGCAACATCAGGACATCACACTTTTCTCCAACCCAAAAAGCTAAATCTGAAAGAGAAAAGACAAAGATAACGATACTCACCAATGCCGGAGTTTCCCCCAGTAATGAGGACGACCTTGTCTGATAGGTCGCGGCCCTGCAGAATCTCCAGAGCAGCCGTGTTTCCATCAAACCGTTTCGGCTTCACCATCACATCCTCCACTGTAAAAGCCTGACGTGGGTCAAAATACGTGGTCCGCTTGTTGATGTGGCTGAAAGCAGTGAGGTAAACAATTACAAAAGCAGCATCATTTCAGGACTTCATCTAAAATCTACAGCAAAAAAATTATAAAATGCTTCCTCGTCAGTAAACTTACTCAACATAAATCATTTGCCCTTTTTCATCCGTTTCCTGCTCCCAACCATATGGCAAATCTGCAGAAAAAATACAAAGTATAATCTCCTGTAACTGTCAGAAGACAACGGAACAAAATAAACTTAGAAGCTACAGACATGTAGGGCACGGTGTCTTTAAAACAAACCTCCAGCACAACGTTTTTTCTTTCCCGTCTTGGGGTGTTCCCACTGTGTTTTCATCTCTTCGTGGCTGTTGGTACAAAATGACAACTTATCACTGAGGAAACCAAAGAGTTAGCTGTCTTGTCAATAAATCATTTATTCATTCATATCCAGGAAGATCATGGGTCAAATTGAGCACAAGCACCTAATTTCATCAACAGTTTATTGGCAGATACAAAATACAATAAAATGGGCAGCAAATAAAAAGCACTAAGTTACATAGAAATACAGTATTTTGCATGTAAAGTATAGGAAATGCACACAGAATTAAAACACTGTTTCAAAACACATTTTAAAAATTAGTCTGTTAATGAAGTATTCGTTTTAATTCACCATTTGTTTGTATTTATTTAAATCCATTCTTTCCTGCTTGCTCTCGAAGAGAGGCCTCAGTCACCTCCGTCTCCCCATGTCTGCTATGTTTCTCTAGGACGGCCTGTACTGAAAGTAATTTTGTTGTGCTTCGGTGCAATGACTATAAAGCTGATTCTTTCTGCTGCGAAAGATTTCCCTGCACTACACGCTGCAACATTAAAGCAAATTTTAACTGATTTCTAATACAGAATTAAAAAAAAAAACAGGAAAATGCTTCTTTCATTAAAACTGCACTCTATTTTTCATAAACTAAACCGTTGCTCATTTTTGGTCAACCGTTCTAGACGGGACATGTTTTTGAACGGCATCAGGCTTGTTTCAGTGTTGGTGCTAAACAAACAGGTCAGGATGGATCAAAGACTTCAGTCTGTTTCGTCTATTTATTCTCATATTTGCGCTGCTGTTGATGCACAATCTTAAAGTAGACGACTAATCAAAAGTCTCAATCTTTTTTAAGAATTGTTGATAATAGAAGCTTCTAAATACCCTCCTAGAAATTGTTTGAGTTTTCTAACTGATCTTCCAGATACTGAAGGTAGACCTAAGACCACCATTCTCTGTAAATTGCAGAAGTGCTACTAGCAGCTAGAGAGACTTAAATTTTTCTAGAGGTGTATTTTATGGGCATCTGTTATATTATAAGTAAATTAAAAAAGAAAACAATAGTGTTTGTTAGGACAGTTTTTCACAAGAGTGTTCATAAAATTCATAACTCATTACTTCTTAACAATGTCAATGAATGGCCTTAAAAATGTAGTAAAAGTTTAAAACCAAATCAAAAGTGTTCAAAAAGCTCCATTCTGTTGGGATGCCCAAATTGTCCGTTTTCTTTTTAGAATGTTACAAAATAAGATTAGAAAACTACAGCTTAAAATGTTAGGTGAGAAGATCAAAGTTCATGCTCAATAATCCAGGTAAAAAAAATCCAACAAGTTCAGTCGGGTCATCTGGACGGTTTCTTTTCTTTTTTTTTTGTTGAGACATATCGTCTTTCATCCAAAAGGACTTCATCAGTCTGAGGAGCCACAACAGTCACCTTGTGGCTCCTCAGACTGATGAAGTCCTTTGGATGAAAGACGATACGTCGCAACAGAAAAAGAAACCATCCAGATGACCCGACTGAACTATGTTGGGTTAGGTGGGGTTTGTTTTGTATGATTAGGTTATTTCAGTATCTCTTATCTTTAAATTAACAATGTACAGTAAACAGAGACTTTGAATGGCGTGTCCAGCTTGTTGGACACAACTTTAGACATGCACACATCTATGAAAAACAACAAATAAAGTCAAACAGAGAGCACAAAAAAGTTAAATTGTGTCATCTGGACAGTTTCTTTTTGGAAGAAACATTTCATCTTTCATCCCAAAGACTTCATCAGTATGAGGCCTGCCAACAGGATCTGTTGTATTAAAAAAACACCATACTGACGTGTTTCAAACCAGTCTGCTGTGAAATTCCCAGAAACTGAGCCTCAAACAGCCATAGAGACCCCATGCTTTAATGCAATCCAAATTATTTTATTGTTGCAACTGCAGCTATACGTGTAGAACATATAAATTGAATAACTCGACTGGCTTTGTGGTTTCTTTCTTTGAAGTCTAAAATGTAAATGTTCTTTGTAAAGCACAGAAGATTGATAGATGTTACCAACAAGGTCTAGGTAAGATGCACTACCTTGAAACTACAACTCTGGGTATGTCCCACTAGCGTTTCTTGCAAAGAATACAGCTCATTAAACAAACAAGACATTATAGCTGCAGATTTAATATCATAAGGTCGGAGTATTTATGTTCATGTATATGAATATGTTGGTCGATAACAGCGGCTTAGTTGAAAGTTAACGTTTCACTTACTTCGCATAGTAAACCCAACCATCTTTTGTAGTTCTTTCCTCCCAGCCGGGCGGTAACTCATCCTCGCTGTCTGTATCGTCCATGCCGGCGTACTTCAGGGCCATAGCTAAACTTCTTCACGTAGAAAAAGAGGTTACACGCACACAAACCCAGAGAGATATCTGCTCTGACGGACGAATCATCCGGCTGTCAAAAGCAGCACTTCCGCAACAACGGAGTGACGATGGTCGAACTGCATCTTGGGAAATTGAGGCGGAAAAACGAAAGGACGGTTCAGCTTGCTTCTGATTGGTTGTTTAGCTTTCATCAACTGACGATGTTCTGCGTCACATAAGAAAATGTCGAGCATTTTATAAATAAATAGATCAGTTTTTCACTTTTTTTATTTCGAAGCAGCTATCATACCAATATTTAGCATTCAATTTTATTAACAGTAATGTAATTTTACTCATGGGCAGCACGGTGGCACAACTGGTAGAGCTGCTGCCGGTTCAAATCCCGGTCAGGGGGCTCTTCGGGGTGGAGTTTGTATGTTCTCTCTATGCATGCGCCTTTCCAGGCGCTCCGGTTTCCTCCCACAGACCAAAAACATGTATGTTGGTAACACATATATGTTGGTAACTGGTTGGTAACTCTAAATTGTCCCTAGGTGTGAGTGAGAGAGTGAATGGTTGTTCCCTGGACCTGCAACCTGTTCAAGGTGTCCCCTGCCCCTTGCACATTGACTGCAGGACATGGGCACTCTCAACCCCTGTGACCCAAATTGGAAGAACTGGGTAAAAGATAATGGAAGGATGGAATTTCGCTCATTAAAGTACCACATGATTGAATTGTGGAATCTGCAATGGTTTGCGGTCAAAAGATGTGTTTGGGATCAGTCTCAGCAACTAACACATCAATTACAGGTCACTATCTGTAAAATATACTGAGATATAGCATTTTTTGTGTTTTAAGGTCATTTAGCTTTGGCAGACATTTTGTATCTGGATGTCTGCAAAAGCTAATCAGTTGCAGATGAATATCTGATGACAACCTCCTGCAGGTTTCATTTATATTTGTCCTTTCAGCCAAGAGATATTTGGTAACTTACATAAAAGCAAACACACGAGCACGCACACACAAACATGAGCAACATTTATTGCCCACTTAAAGTGGCACTTTAGGTGTCACATTAAAAGCTGCTGAAGCGTGGTACTTTTCAGCGATGGATGATAAATATCTTAAAAACTCTGTTTTTATGTCAAAGTCTATTTGAAATGTTGTCAAGTATGTACAAAAAATAATCATTTTTGCTTTGAGATGTGGTGTTGTGTCAGTAATGAGTATCACAATGCCAACCAGTGGTGGGCACAGCTAAACAAAAAGTTTGCTTCGCTAACCCATATTCTGCTAACTAAAAAAATTATCTTTGCTAACGCTAAACTGCTAAACAGGTTAAAAATATATCTAATGTTGTAAATGCTTTAAAATAATGCTTTAAAATAAGCTCATGTTAAACAGCTAAGACAACTGTCACTCAGTCTGAGTCACACATTTTTGTCACAGAGATATTTATTATGTCTATGGTCTTTGTCTCCTATGTTTAACATAGGAAACTTACATAAACAAACATAAACTTAATGGTACTTCCTTCAGTTAGTTAACAGTCAACAATGGTGTACCACAAGGCTCAGTTATAGGACTCACCCTCTTTACAATCTACATAGGTAATGTAGGTCAGAGCATCCCTGATGCATCCTTACATTTCTATGCTGATGACACAGTTGTTTATTGTTGAGCTAAAACAGTTGCTAAAGCTTTCCAGCTTTTGCAATCCACATTTGACATCATCCAGTCAGATTTGTTCCACCTCAAACTTGTCTTAAATGCCGATAAAACCAAAGGGATGCTTTTTTCAAAACAGGAAGTCAGTCAAAACAGTTCTTCCTCCTATTTTATTTTCAAATGGTGTGGGCGGCTGTGGATGAGTGGTTAGAGCAGTCGTCCTCCAATGCGAGAGTTGGGGGTTCGAATCCACCAGCATTCACATGCTGAAGTGTCCATGGACAAGACACTGAACCCCTCATGGCCTCTGATGCGTGTCCCATTGGTGTATGAATGTGATCTAAAAGCTCTGATTAGTCTCTTTAGAAGGATTTGTTCAATTAGCTTTGTAGAGATCTAGTAGAGTGCTGTATGGATGGGTAAATGAGGACACAGATTGTAGTGTAAAGCACTTTGAGTATCTTGAAATAAGATAGAAAGGCGCTGTATAAGTACAGTCCATTTACCTATTGAGTTTGTTGATTCCTATAAATATTTGGGTATCTTGGTCGACTCGCATCTCTCTTTTAAGTTCCACGTGGAAAACCTAGTAAGGGAACTGAAAGTTAAACTGGGTTTCTTTTTCAGAAACAGATCCTGTCTAACTCTGAATGCTAGGAAACGCCTTGTATCTGTGACTTTCCTTCCCTCCATCGATTACGGTGACTTTATTTACATGAACGCTCCTACAAGATCCCTGCAGATTTTGGATGATGTCTATCATGGTGCACTAAGATTCATAACTGGCTGTGATTATCGTACCCACCACTGCACCCTGTATTCACTGGTTAACTGGACATCATTAACTTCATGCACACTCTCGCTGGTACATTTTCATCTTTAAATCACTTCTTGGTCTGCTGCCTTCATACATCTCCTCCTACATGTCTCTGCGTGAGTGCAGCTACAGCGTGCGCTCTCAGGACATTATTACCTGCAGTGTTCCCTCAGTGCAGACTGAACTAGGCAAAAGGGCCTTCTCCTACTCTGCTCCTGTTTCCTGGAATATCTTACAAAAAGACCTGAAGCTCTCGACCTTGACCTCTCTAAGTGGCTTTAAGAATCTGTTGGACTCCGGGCAAGGACCAATGCAGACATGTTCCTGTTTTTAGTTTTCTACATTTGCCTTATAATCTAGCTGTTTTGCTATTTTTTTGCCATCTTATTTTAATTTGTATAAATAAATAAAAAAGAAAATAATAATTAAAAAAGAAAATCTGTATGCCTCTTTTATGGTTGTCTTTTGATGTCACTGTTGTCCATTGTTGTCATCATTCTTTGTTGAAATCAGGTCTCTCTTGTAAATGAGTTCTCGAGGCTCAGTGGGATTAACCTGTCTAAATAAAGGTTGAATGAATGTTTGTCTCCTTACAGATAAACTGCGTTGACCAATCACGTCATGTCGTGTGTACATGTAGTAAGCCAACTGTGTGCCTAACAGACGCTTTGAGACACGCCCACAACAGACAAGAACAAGCTTTGTGGTTTTGGTTAGTAGATGAAGTTGGCAAAACCTAATTTAGTGGAAGCTAATTCCGCTAACGGTTTCCAAAGTTAGCAAAAACGTTAATCCGCTTAACAAAAAAAATAGTTCCGTTATTAACTGTTAGCGGATTAGCGGAACTGTGCCCACCACTGATGCTAAAGTTTGGAATAAAATAACAACTAACAAATCCACCTACTGTGAACATTTTTAACATAATGATGACAAGCGAAACATCTATGTTAAATTAACTTTAAACATGTCTTCCCAATATAGCAAATGACCCTGACATTTTCATTCACAATTTGCTCCAAACACATCTGAAACAACAGGTGCATTGAAACACATTTCACAAACCATTTAAACGTGAAAGTCATGAATGGTGAGAGAAAGATTAACCAGTTGGGCCTGTTTCACCTCTAAATGGTCACACAGTCACGAGAAAAACACTGACTGGACAGAGACATAAATATTAACTTGAAGTATAACTAAACTGGTGCATTCAGTTCACAAGGCTATACGCTGAATTTAATTTTCCACATCTTTGTCAACACCTGTTCATGATGACATATTGTTTCATGTTTCTACATTAGCTCACAAGCTCTTTTGTTTGCAAAACCAGTAGCATTCCTCTGGACCTGCTGCTTACCTGCCTGTTAAACACAGTGATCACCTGTTGCAAGTGTACGGTGATCAGGATCAGGATTTAGGGAAGTAAGTAACAGCCAGACACTATTGATAAGACTGGGACTGTTCATGAGAATGAGATGGACATGAGGACAGTGGTACTTAGATCTTGACTAACACCAATCCAAGTAATCACTAAAGTCTATCTTCATACTCCCCTGAAATATAACAATCATGCAAATAACAGACTGAAAACATAACGGCCCTTGTTGATACATCATACAGAAACAGTACTCTATTGTCTATGACGGCTTGAAATCACAATGCAAGGAATTTACTTGCACATCAGTTATTATTTTAAAAAATTGCCACGAGAGGAATGTCGTGAAACGTGAATAAATCTTTCAGCAAACTCTAATTCCCCCTTCAAATGACTGAAAACAAAAGAAATGCATCAACGTAACACGACTTCCTTGTGTGATGATTGAAACTTCACTGTATTTTTTTTATTTATTATTATTTCAGCTACTGCGCATGCTCTGCGCTGCTCTGTGGGCGGAGCCCCGAGGTGGGCCGAGTAACAGTAGCCTACTGTGTTTGTGTGTGTTAGTGTGTGTGTGTGTTTGTCTGAACGGAGCACGAAACGTGTCTATGAGGAAAGACACACACCCCAACGTGAGATGTACTAGCTAGATAACGGTTTTTTGTATTGAAAGTTTTATTTTTACTACCCCGAGATTGGTTCGATGCTGTACCTCATACGGCGCGGCATTTCGCAGGAATTATTGATTTCGTTTCTTCTAAAGACTGTCCGCTCCTCCTCCTCCCCTCGATGAAGCGCTGCGATGCCCTCTGATTTTATATCCCTCCTTAGCACGGATATCGACCTTAATTCCCCTAAATCTCTATACTCGAAAGGTAAGATACTAATTCAGAAAGATTGCCGTAAAGTCAACAGTCCATTTTGATATGAATCAAAATAAATGTCTTGATGGCTCATGTTAAGCTGCTAGCTAGCAGTAGTTAGCATCTTTTTTTTTTTTTGCTCTTAGCAAGACTGGCTAGCATAGTTAGTTGGCTGCGTTTGACAAACAAACAATGCTCTGAGACGGCTACTTTTACTGAAATTGTATCAATAACAGTTGAATACGTAACTAATAACTGTACCACATATTTGATATTAGTTAACTAATCGGCCTCTTTGCAGTCACTACATTGTTGTCATTGTTCAGCGGTTTAACGTTCACTTAAGTCCTGCTTGGATTTTGCAAGGAGGTGTGTGCATCCGTAGGCACGTGTACACAACAAAGATGGTTGTGTTCATTCATTGATAGTGTTGTTTGCTGCATTTCCTTTCGTTTTGGTTTGACTCCTTTTTTGTTTTGGTTTGTTCCTCCTCGTGCCCTCAGGGTTCAGGTGTTGGCGCTTCACAGTCAGCATAAAGTGCATTGTGTTATACCACTGCACACGTGTCAGCCAACTGCTGTTATTATTAGTAAGGACGTTGCTGCATGGTTCAAGAGCAGTTCTGCTCATCTCATTGTGGGATTAGTTTAGTAAGTAGCTGAGTGTTGGCATTCGGTAGAACTTGGTTACTAAATCAGTTCTGTTCCTGTTAAGTGCGGATTTGTTTACATCTTTAAAGAAGTCTGGTTGCACTGGTGGCTTTCACGAGGTTAGAATTGTATGCAAGGAATTGGTTTGTTATAAAACATAATCTTAAGCCCCTAAATCAGGAGAAAGAGACTAATTAAAATGAGTCCGTTTCTTTAGGAATTCCATGAAGGTATTAGCTGGTGTGTTTTTTAAGCTCTGACCCCTTCTCTCCTGCTCTGATAAATCCAAGTCCTCCAAGCAGCTGATACCAAAGCACCTGTTCAAATAGTTAGTTTGCTGAGGCTTATGTTGTATTAATTTCAAGTTGGTTATTATCAGCTGAGATGCTGTAAGGCTGCTGTCCAATGTCCATGAATGATTTTGATGCAAGTTAAGACTTTAATATTGAGCACACATGATTAGTCCATCAACAAACAAAGGTGGATTCATCCTCAGCTCAATAAAATATTCATATATTACTTTATCCTCCTATATAGCCTCATGACTCAGACATAAAAGCATCTGTGAGCTTTTCAGCTTTTAACTCAGTACTAAGCAAATAATTTTACATCACTATATCCACTATTGCTTAAATTAAATTAATTTATCTCAGTCTCTAGATGCTAAGACAGTGGTCAAAAATGATCTGACAGCTTGCTATTAAAATTTTCATAAAGAGGTTGACTGAGGTTAGCCTTTAGATCCTAAATATATTTATAAAGCAGTACTTGAATATAGGTTTTGCTAACCCAATCACTCACAGACTCACTGTTTTGCATGGGAGACTGCATATACAAAGTTTATGTGCGTGTTGTAATTGTGTGTCAAGAACTGTCTTTTAAATCTGCAAACTTTTATCTTTTAACAGATTAACATGTTTTACAACCAGACATAAATGGCATGCAGTGTTAGTAGTAGCTTATCATCAAAAGAAAGACTGATTCTGTACAACTACCAGAAATGTCCCAATCAGGATTTAGTTTCTGAATACTGATCTGTGTCATTTTAGCTGTTAAAAAAATTATAGATCACTTAAAGCCTGCTTTCAATTCAGCAGCACCTTAATGTAGGACGTTAGGTTCGCTTTCAAAATGTGCTTGTGTTGTGGTTTCTGTACTGTTGTGGCTTGTAATCTCTACTGAAGTATTTTTGTTGATATTATATATATGTATTTTTTTTTCAGAAATTCTTACAGTTATTGTTTATACTACAAAGAAAATTATCACTGTCTTGGATTTTACAGGTAGATAAGAGTCTGTTTGCAGCTAGTGCTGCAAGATGTTCCTGCAATGTACATGGTGGACTTTTCAGGGAAACATTCTATTAAAAATGCATATCTAAAAATGAATGTTGACTCATTGGTGCTATTTCTCAGAACTGAATTACTAAACTACAGTTCCTTGGGGGGGGGGGTGGGGGGGGGGGAGAGACTATGTAAAAGTCCAGTTCTTACTGAGTGAGAAAAAGTATTCTGTTCTAGGTCTTCTCTGCCTTGTATATTTTGATGGACAAATTCTAATATATCCTTACAGAACTTGTCTGCTGGTGCCACATCTGTCCTGACTGCCATGCATGTTCATGAACTAACGGAAAGCTTTGCTCTGTGATCCTGAAATGCTTAAGAGCCATATGCTCGATAACATAGTTGTTTATTTATATCTCAGTAACTGGGTGTGAGTACGTGCTAGAATCTAGGTAGTCAAAGTGTTCATCAAAAATCTAGATTAAGACTGTAGGTGTTTGACTTTAAGCTTTGTTGTAATAACTTTGTTATTCCAGCATTTTAAAAGGTGAGGCTACTATCGCACTACGCTGGAGGCCAGTTGGTGACTCAAAAATTGCCCCCAAAAAGTTTTTTTTTTTTAAGTGACCAGCAGCAAGCTACATGACTATGTTATGAGTGGCCAGTTTTTGAAAATTACAGCTTATTTTTGTGTGCGACACTTGCATAACTGTATTCACATGATTTCATTTCCCATCTCGGCTCACATCATAACAGATTGGGCTTGCTTTGTACACGCTTGCAGCCTACTGGAGCCCACTTTTGAAATGAAGAGAGGTAGATGTAGAATTGTTTTTTTTTGTTTTAATAGCTATTATTCGTTATTGGACAATATAATTATAGTTAAACCTGGACATTCAGTAGCCTCATTTGTTCTGACATAGGAGAGTTTGTGGAAGGTGTCAAAATACAGCTCTAGTAGTCAAGAACTAACAGACTGGTTCAAGATACCCGTGGTAACTGTGCTACTATTTTGAGGGAAAATTTGTCATGATAATTTTTTGTTCAAAATTCAAGTGACAAAAATTGGGAACACTGCAAACGTTTTGAGACATTTTGGAAACTTGCTCACATGTGCCTTTTGCCACCTAGTAGCCAACGTTCCCAGTCCAGTTCTTAATATCATGTTTATATTTACAGACTGACTTTCGTACAAGCCAGTATTCAAGTAAGTTTCAATTCAACCGTAGTTTGGACACCAGCCAATAAAATATTCATTATTTTAATTAACCGAAGCTGTCAAAACAAGGTTCAAATACTGTATTCAACATTGTTTTATATAAATAATAATAAATTAAAAAAATCAAATAAAAGAAATGCTTGTGGTTTGTCTGCAGGGAGCAATTCCTGTGTGGCTTGAGCACAATGTGTTCAGATATGTAATTAAAGCAGTCATTTTCTGTTGATGTACATTCTCAGAAGTCACTTTTTATTTTTATTTTTTAATTATTAAATTTGCATCCGATAGTAGAGCTCATGGACTGTCCATTCATCTATCATGCCCCAGTCCTCAGTCAGCTGCAAAGAATAGAATCAGACTGTTGCCCTTGTAACTTGGCAGAACCTCAAAAGCATTTGTAATGTGAGCTGTGCATAACTATAAGGTGATGTAAGTTAATTGTTCCCAGTGCAGGTCAAAGCAGTCAGACCTCTCCTAGCTGACTTGTATGTTGTAGCTTATGCTTTGGTAAACTAAACCAACCTTGCTGACCTCTTTTTAATTGTTTAAATCCTTTATGTTTGAATGCCATGCATCAAAATAGTGCACATCACTAAATCAATTTGTGTAACATCAGCATCATCTTTAGCATTCATTAGAAACAGTGTGAAGTCAATTGACTTTAGCATTTTGAGTCACAGCTATGAAGTGTCATTTAATTCAAGCTCAGCTTGTTGTTAATGAGGCAGCGTGAACTGCGCAGATAAATGAAAACTAAATTTTGGGTCGTCCACAACCTTTACAAAAAAGAAGGCAATAAATCTCAAGCTCTTGAGTTGAAATTCCTCGTCCACTTTTTTGTCGTCCAACTTTGCGAAAGACGCACTCGCAGGGATTAAAGCAGAAACAAATCTTTTGACTGTAATTTTTTCTACAACTAGAGTTTACCCAAGCCACACATACGAGAGCTTTTTCACTTCTCAAAGGCTTTCACGCAAAGAGTATACTGTGTACGTGACCTTAGTAAAAGTACACACGTTTTCTCTAATGAAGTGTTGAAGTTGTAAGGAGACTTTAACCTGCACCATCAAGACCAGCAGCATTCTGAAGGAAGAGAGGGGTTAGAACAGCTTTCCTGTTGTTTACTTATAGGTCATTTCAGTGTTTTCGATTGAGAGGTTGTCAGGTATATTTTTCAAAACAAGATTTAAGCTTGTGTAGTAACAATATTTTTCATATTTGATACTTTATTAAATTGCATTCGTCACAGTATGATTCTGAATATAATCGTTTAGCACACCTAAACAAGCCATAAAACCTTGTTATTACTAAAACACTGTGAAGAATTGAAATTTGAAGATATTTATGATAAACTACAAATACCTGAAACTGACTCTCACACAGAGAACTTGGTGAGTTTGGAGAAAATGTAAAGTTAAACGGAGACACACATCTTTGTTATAATTGGGGTCATATAAATATTCATCTTTTTGTGTTAATATTGTTTAATTTATAAGAAAGCAGCAGCCTGTCTTGCTCAAATCATGACAATTGAAAACACTTTTTTCCCCCTTTCATTTATAGATGACAGAAATCCATTGTAGGGACGGAGAACCAGTATTTCACTTGGTTGTCCATCAGACAACCTCGAGGCGGGATCAGTTTGTCCAAGACGACAATAGGTTGTCTCGGACAAACTGAAACCAGATGTCGACTCCAGTTTTGTTACAGACAAAAAACTACATGTACATCTACAGGCACAAACCACATAAAACTTTATACAATATGTATTTTACTTTTTGCTGATTTTTATTGCTTGGGCTCTTTGGTTGAGTTTTGTCTGGGATGAACAACCAGTTTACTTACTGGAACAAAATAATTCAAACCCAGCAAATAGTTTGTGCCTCTAAAAAACTTTAATAACAAGTAGTAGTATTCAAGAAGTGCAACAATGCAACATTTTAAACAAAGATCTCCTGTGACACAGTGCTGGTGTCAGAAAGTCCTGTAAGTGTACATCCAGTGCTTACTTTGACTCATTAACATCCATCCAGTGGTTCTTAAGCTGTTTTGCTAACAGGCCGATAAAGATATGACACAATATTCTGCCTTTTATGGTGGCAGAGAATAACTAGCTGAATATAAAAGTCTCTTATTTGTGTTGCACTTGTCAGCAGAGCACAGCGACCCAGCATTTGATCTGGTAAATCTCTACTCTGTGTAACCCTCTTCCTAACCCAGATCACAGGATGAACAGTCATTTCTGATCTCCGTCATGTTTTGTTCTTCTATTTGGCCGGATCACGTTGAAATATTACTGCTGCAAATATGCATTTCTGCGAACAATGAAGATACTTGTTTTTATGACTGCTGCTGTAGCATACAAAAGGGTTGTGTGTCCGTTTGAATACACATGCAAGAGATTCAGACTGTTTACACCACAACTGTGTCAAAATGTTTCAGTCAAGAGTGAGGTCATGTCGGGTTACCAGTTTGTCTGTGACGCAACCAGTGACAGACTTGCTTTCTTCACACTACAAACAAAAAATGGAAAAGTATAGTGACAATTATTTACACTTTCATATTTGTTGGACACAATTTAAAACCATCATCTAAGCTTTTACTCTAAATGATTATTGTTGACATTTTAGTCCATAGATTAAATTGTGAACTGTTTTTATTCAGTCACTTCTTGTTTAAATTTGCAGAAGTCACAATTCTTTGTCATTCGCACCACATGTGGTACATGTGGTCAAACGAGATTGTGTACTCAGGGTCCCAGTTACACCCAACAATAAAATGTAATAGAAAAATAGTAATAAGATATGAACTAAGAAAAACGTCAATTAAAAATATTTAAAATTCCCCAAAATTAGGGATGCATGATATTGGATTTTTGGCCAATATCCGATATAACTATATGTTAAAACCTATTTGACCGATACCAATATTTTATGTATTTTTCTTTGTCAGAACATAGCCCTCTTATTTAGGCTTATTTGCTACAAAAATTGTGTAACAGCTGTAAGAGCTGGTGACATATATTCAGTAACAGCCATATGATATGCATAGCTCTTTAACTTGTATTAAATAAAGTTTTAAATGTTATTTATTAGCATTAGTCACCTGTGGAGGCTTGTTCCAGGTTCCTAGCTGCAGTGTGGGATTCTTTGCACTCTTGTGCATGAAGGACAGACTTTTTTAAGTTCAAAGTTTTTGTGCCGTAAGACTAATCATGCTAACGGGGCTAACACGACGTCCAAATGTCTGTGGTAAAACTCACCCAAGTGCTATCAGTTATTAACTTCTCAATGATGTCAGAAATGATGGCTTGTAACTCGGGTAAGGTTACGTTGGAAAAATATCTCCGACTGGGGACGATGTAGCGAGGCTCATCACAGTCCAAAAATCTTCGGAATCTGACATCCTCAACGAAAAAAACCTTCCACACCGCCGCCATTTTGCATTTTCCTCTCCACCGTGAGATCAGGTAGGCGTTTGTGACGTCATCACATTGTGCTGGCACTCCAGGCATCCCTGTCACTGGGTTGTCGTATAAAAACAGCGTCTTTTATATCAGTGAGTTATTTTGATGGCATGGCCGATGTCCAATATTGAACTTTAACGCCAATATTGACTGATACCATGCCGATAATATTGTGCATCCCTGCCAAAAATGATATAAATATACTTGTACACGTTTTGGGGGGGCACACAGGCATTTTTGTAATTTTCTTTTTGCTCTGCTGTAAAATGTACTGCAACCTTTTTTTAAAGCAAAGCATTTGGAAACGTTGTGTGAACTCGAGGGATGTGTTGTTCCTTCTTCGACTGTTTTGTTTACGTCACAAACGTGCAAGATCGTGTGTCTTGTCATCTTTATCACTCTGCCGGTGCCAAGTGTCAGATAACTACTACACATGCTTGTTGCTGCCAATGCACAGCTGAAATATCCATGTCAGGGTTTTGATAGGTGTTTGTTTCATAGCAACCAAACAGCCTACTATGTTTATCAGATATCAGATGTGGCTTACTCGTGTTGCTGCAGTGGTTGGATATTCCAACTAGGAATCATGTTTCCGGCCCTGTGATGGACTTGCGGCCTGTCCAGGGTGTACCCCGCCCCTCGCATAGTGATCGCTGGACATGGGCCCTGGCGACCCCCATGACCCGAAATGGAAGAAGCAGGTAAAAGATAAGGGATGGATGGATGGGCACATGTTTCCATCAAACATCATCATGTCTCCTAAAATTTTATTGCACCAAATCTTACATGAGGCTTATTTAGTATAAAATAGAAATGCCATAAGTTGTGACACTCTACTTGCAAACTACAAACACCACTAACCTTAATTTTTTTTTTTTATTATTGCCTTGTTATTGACAGCAAGATTGCATTAGCAGAAGGCAAATTAAATGTTCAAGCAGAGGCTGTGCAGGAACCTGAATTTTGTCCTGGGATCAAAACTTCCTTGAGATCCAGCGTTTAGTGGTAAATTCTTGTTTTTTATGGGTAATGAATACACTTTGGGTTAACAATTAGTGAAGAAGATGCCACAAAACTGCAAACGGTTCTACCATAAAGATTATTTACAGTTGTCTCCTTCATCCCTAAACAGTCCAAAGGGACGCTTGGAGAAAGTATTTCTCCCTGAGAAAAGTAGACATTGATCTTTTTCAGTGATGTGGTTCTCCATTAATTCTCTGAAATATATCATGATGTAAGTTTTGCAATAAAACTAATGTATGTTCTCCTGCTCACCCTTTATGGCAGAGTCAGTATATGACCTCCTCCCCAAAGAGCTCCAGCTCCAGTCACCGTCCACCCAGACAGACCCACCCACCATGAGCCAGAAGAGTGGGGGAGAGGCAGGACCTCCCCCCTCCACAGCCTTGGCTGCAGGTGAGCAATCTATTCATCCTATGAAAACCATGATCTGGGATCAGTTACCCTGTTGAAACGATTCCCAAGTCAGCAGGGGCAAAAAAAATATGGCTTTGATTGTCTGGGGGCAGCTTCACCCTTTCATCAGTGTCTGAGGTAGTAAACAGGACTATACAGGCATTTGCATTTTGAAGCTGTTAACATGTTTATATTTTATTTAGATATATCGAATGCTTTCTTGTTACTTCAAGCCTCAATAATAGTATTTGATCAGATATAGGTAAATTAAAACAGTTCCCGTCTTCCAGCTGTTGCTTCACTACCTTTAAGTGAATGTTCTAAATTTTAAAATGACTGGAAGTGGTTACAATGACATCATCTGTTTGTTTCTCAGATGATGTTTTAAAGCCATAGTTTGACTTATGGCTTTGAATATTAGGGTGGAGCTGTTTGGTGATACTTAAAATCTGATTAAATGTATCTTTAGGGCCCAAGACTTACCCATTAAACAAAATTATTTCTCAAATGACAACCAGCATGTTAATAATTAGTAAAAGTATAATATTAATAATAGTTAAATTAGCTTATAACATAATAAAAATGACTTTGTTTGAAAGTTAGTCGGTATGTAAAGTACTTGTCTGTTGGGTTTATAATTTAAAACAAAAATAACTTCATATACTTTCTACAGTATATACAGTTTGTGTGACATGTGGGAAGAGTTGATCTTCTCTTGAAGGTAAATTTATAAGATTTGCAGATCACAGTACTGACTCCAAGTTGTGTTTAGGAACCCTACAGAAGTTTTAATGTCACTAATGTCTCTGTAGAACAAACTGACATGTTGAACTAGAGTCGTTAGATTGCTGTTAATCTCTAATGTTCTTCTACTGGGCTTCTTCAACATGTTCAACAAGTGCACTCTGTAAACTTGCACTAATAAAGATAACACAAAGACGTGAAATAACACGAGACATGAAATAAAACTATTATTTATATTTATTAATTAATTTTTAAAAAGCTAAGTTGTTAACTAATCTGTGTCAGTGTTAGTGGCAGTGAATAATGTTTACTACAGATCTTTGTCTACTGTGAAATAAATGTTATAAACTGTTTATGAATTGTAGCTCCAAGAAATACTGAGTCTACATTAACAGCATGCTAACATGATAAATACCTTGTATTTTATCATTTAACTTTTTTTTTTGCTGTATTTTTGATGCGTGTGCTTAATGCTTTTTGACATGTGGTGCGAATGACAAATAAATAAACTCAGACAAGTAAACGTTTCAGGAACTTTTTTAAATATACAGTTTACATCCTTGCTGGTTAGATGTTGTCTTCTGGCTTAAGCAGTCATCTCAGGCATTTCTTTCATAATGACATTGTATTGTGCCATCAATTTTGCGTACAACATTTTAGTCTGAGGGTTTGTTTGATAACGTGCTGTATTCTGTTTAGGCTGTTTTGAAGATTAAGCTGTTCTTGAATGGCTTATCTTCTAAAACAGAAACAGCCGATACCTTTTCAGTTTGCACTTGACCATATAGGCACTCAGAAAGCGTAATGTGAACTTTCCTTTTAAATGATAAGCACCATGTTTTTAAGCAGCTAACATTTTTAAATATTTACAAATGTTCTGTATATTAATGAAACTGTGAAGTTGCCCCCTTTGCAATCAGTTGACTATATTCTTGTCTGTGAGCACTGTGTTCCCCTGTCCTGGTCCTCAAGACTCACTGTCTTGCATTTTTTTAATGTTTTCTTGCTCCAACACACCTGAGTCACATCATACCTCCCCAGAATGTCAAGATCCGTAAAAGATTGTTAACGCCCCGTTACTTTAACTCAGGTGTGTTATGAAAAGTGTGCAGCACAGTGAATCCTCCGGGCCAGGATTAAGGAACACTGATTTTAGTAAATAAAAATAAACGATAGCCTGGTCATAGATCATGGTTTAAGGCTGCCAGCATTTGCTATATTTGTGAGGGATCTTTTTTCTTTAGTTTTGATATAAAGAGCAAACTAACAGGTTAGCAGTTGGAGGGAACGATTTTGTTAACGCCACCGTTTCATTGTCCTGTGTGACAGCTGGCCTTAAGCAGTGCTGATCAAAAGCATGACTACTGTAATGTCCTCCAGATCACCATTTACAAAATACACATGCTTTAAAAATGTCTATAAATGATGACCTTCAAAACATTACTCCTTCCGGTATTGTAACTCATCCAATTTACTGATTGACAGAAGTTGAGTCTTGAATGATCAGCTCTCTTGTTGCTCATTGGCTGTCTCGTTTTTATTGCAGGAAGTTCCCTCTGAGGCAGGGAGTGTCTGCATATAAAATGGTCTGCAGTTCACTGCTCCATAGGTCAGAGGCTTGTTTATTCTGTCTCCATGGCTACGCTCAGTCTCAACCAAATCTTCCAATTGTCATGCGCAAACTACTGTTTTTCTACTGAATGCACATTGCACAAACTGTACTGTAACTGGCAATTTTAATTTGGCGCCACATTATCAGCTTTATAAATTTTGCTGTTCGAGAAAGTTTGACCAGACTTTGTTTCTTTCTGGCAATGTGTATGTAACAATTTGTAGCTTGCTTTTGTTTTTGTAAACAAGGCATGCCAGTTTTGTCACATTGATTTTTAATTTAGAGGTTTTGTAGGAATCAGAACAAAGTGGGACCTAAAAGACCCTTCTCAACTTTAACTTCAGATTATTTGATCAATGCTTGATGGCTCTCGCATGCACAGTGAGAGCATGTAACCCACAAAAGTCTATTGAAATTAGAGTTGGGAAGAAGGGAAATCAATACAAATCATGCACAAATTCAGCTGCTTGACTGGGACTGCTAGCCTGCTCTGTGCTGAACATCTGTTCTAACTTTACCTGTATATACTACTACAGATGCCACCTCATCCACCTCCAGTTCTTCTGCTTCTTCTTCCCTGGCCATGGGACCTTCATCCAGCGGCCTCTCTACCTCAACCTCAGACCGTCTCACAGTTGCTCAACATCTCCACTCCACTGGAGGCGATGGAGCTGCAGCTTCAGAGATACAAGGTATGGAGGCTGCCGGATCTGCCCCCAGCAGAGGCAACAGTGGGGCGAACGCCACAGCAGGAGACATAGGGTCAGGAGTGATGTCAGGACTAAGTGTGCAGCAGCTTCACAACACCCCATCAAAACGAAGGCCTGTATTGAGCATATCTCCACCACCTGAGGACCTGTTTGACGACAGCCAAATGTCTTGCCAAGAGGAACCCACCGTATCAGGCGCACCAGTTCCAGACTCGGAGCACAGCAACAGCATGTGGGCTGATGATTCTGTCTCCAACTTCAGCGTGATCAGCTCCATTTCATACAATGACAACACAGAAGTTCCACGCAAGTCCAGAAAACGCACGCCTCGCCAGCGACCCGGCCCCAAGCCCACTCCTCCAGAGAACAGCATGGATGTGTTTGATGCTGACAGCGCCAAGGGTCCTCATTTTGTCCTATCACAGCTGGGCACAGACAAGGCTAGGTGGGGTGACGCTTGTTAAAGCTTTATTGTGCTATATTACCTGTAGCTGTTTATCAGCTAGAATGAAAAATTATGTTTGGAGTAATAGGATTTCTGGAAGTTGTGCTATTCATGTTTCTGTTTCTGTGCAGCTCTCTTGATTCAGGGACTGCAGTGAAAGGTGGGTCACTGTCTGCCCAGTACCCTTCTAGGAGTGATGGAAAGGAACTAAAGATCCTGGTGCAGCCAGAGACCCAGCACAGAGCTCGCTATCTGACTGAAGGCAGCAGAGGTTCTGTTAAAGATCGCACGCAGCAAGGATTCCCCACGGTCAAGGTTTGAATAATTTATGGCCAGCGTCTTAATTCTTAAAACAAGAACAAAATGTGACGTTTTGAATTGTCGTTCCAAGAGCAGTTTTTCCTGGGCTACTTCAAAAACTTGATTATACAAAGTGTAAACTGTTTGTTGGGTTTGTATACATAGGAGATTGTTTTTAGACAAATCAGCAACTGTTAAAATATATATTTACTTGTAAATGAAGTTTAAAACTAGTGCTTGCTTAGCATACATTCACACAGCATTTAACCGTACTGCATCACCGGGACTACTAAGTATTTTCATTCTTGCTTTTGTTTACAGCTAGAAGGTGTTAATGAGCCAGTTATGCTGCTGGTGTTTGTGGCAAATGATGCAGGCAGAGTGAAGCCTCATGGTTTCTACCAGGCATGCAGAGTAACGGGACGAAACACCACTGCCTGCAAAGAGGTGGACATAGAGGGAACCATGGTTATAGAGATCCCGTTGGAGCCAAGCAATGACATGACGCTCGCGTAAAAATAGATTTTCTTTATTATTTTAATATTATTTTATATGAATAATCTGGAAGCAATTAATACATGTGTGAAGTTTGTGGTTGTAATTCATTTTTTCTTCCACATCGTGTCTGTAGGGTTGACTGTGTCGGAATTTTAAAGCTACGTAATGCAGACGTTGAGGCGCGTATCGGTGTGGCAGGTTCCAAGAAGAAGAGTACACGTGCCAGGTTGGCCTTCAGAGTCAACATCCCCCAGTCTGACGGATCATTCCTTACTTTACAGGTCCCCTCATCACCCATCCTCTGCAGTGAGTAATGCAAACACAAGGACATTTAAACACTATAAAGCTAACAGCAGAAAGTAGGCAACATTTCTCTCAAGTAAAAGAGTTGTGATTATTAGTTTTTTATCAAACAAGTAATTGAATAAAAGTGCCACTGATTTCAGTTGTGGTCCAACCATACCAAGTTTTTATTTATCCTTTCTACCACTCTCCAGCCCAGCCAGCTGGAGTGCCAGAGATCCTGAAGAAGAGTCTTCACAGCTGCTCGGTTAGAGGAGGGGAGGAGGTTTTTATAATTGGAAAAAACTTTCTCAAAGGAACCAAAGTTATACTTCAGGAAAACCCTGCAGGTGCTGCAGATTTAGTGTCGTGTCTCATTATTTGGGTGGGTTTCTGTATACAAACGTCTGACGGGTGGTAGAATAAAAACATTTGCTTTTGACTTTGTAGATGATAATTCCTGGCAAGCTGAGGCCAAGATTGACATGGACCTTTTTCATCAGGTAAATATATTTAAATATCTATGCCCAGCTGGTTTTTCTTGAGAAATAAAATGTGCTGTATTAGACCTGCTATATTTTCACGGGTATTTCATGTGAACCTTTCCAGAATCATTTGGTCGTGACAGTCCCTCCATTCCACAACCAGTCGATCACTTCTCCTGTGTCTGTGGCAATTTTTGTGATGACCAATGCTGGCAAATCACATGAGGCCCAGCTCTTCACATACACTCCTGAGCCAGGTACAGCAACATTCTAATGAATATAAATCTCTATATTTGAAGTTAGAGACCTGAGGTTTGCTCTTGGCACAGACGCAGAGATACTGAAGTTGCATTGTAATGGGAAATCCAGTGGTGACCTGGTTAGGTAGACATGATACATTCAGATGAATGAAAAAGAAGAAATACCTTTCTGTACTTTTCTTTTTGAATAAATGACAATATGGACTGTCCCATGAAAGGGCGGAATCTTGTTGGGATTATAAGTAACCAGCATGTGGGTTTAAAATTAACCATTTAACGTAAATTAAAGTTATTGAAAAAAATATTGTTTCTCAGGCAACTTAAACAGGACATAAAATCAACAATGACTAAAAAAGTGAATAAGACCCACATGTATTTGAGAACTTAATAACTATAAGACATAAAGTAGTACATTGTGGGGCGGCTGTGGCTGAGTGGTTAGAGCAGTCATCTTCCAATGCGAGAGTTGGAGGTTCAAATCCACCAGCAGTCACATGTTGAAGTGTCCCTGGGCAAGACACTGAACCCCTCAATGCCTCTGATGTGTATCCCATCGGTGTATGAATGTGATAAAGCTCTGATTAGTCTCTTTAGAATGATTTGTTCAATTAGCTTTGTAAAGATCTAGTAGAGTGCTGTATGAATGGGTAAATGAGGCACAGATTGTTGTGTAAAGCGCTTTGAGTATCTTGAAATAAGATAGAAAGGTGCTGTATAAGTACTTTACCATTTACCATAAATACTTGTGGCTTACAGTTTACACTCTGCACCTGTGAACCTAAATTACAGCAACGGTGAAGCTTTTGGCTTGAGATGAAGGAACAACTATGGTGCAAAAGAAAAAAGTGGAACCAATATTATATAATATAATAATAAGATGTGTACAGTGATTCCTCACTTATCACAGGAATTACATTCCAGAGTCCTATCATATATATATATATATATATATAT